GCACAGGAATGAGGAGAGACAAAGGGGGGAGGTACGTCAGGAGTACGGCTAGCAATGGGCCATTCGGCTTAGCCTGATAAGGGTTCTAGCCTATTCATTTTAATCATGATGGTTGATCTGAAGAATGGATGGCTTAGATCTTTTACCCCACAGGTCTTAAAGATTAGAATATCAAGATCAAATTTTGTTCATGGCTATCTCTATAGAACCTTATCTCCTATGAGAAACCCTATCAATAGGGGTCTCTTCTTCTATTCTCTTCATGCCTTCTCTCTTCTCTCTTCCTACCTTCTCTCTAGGGGCCATGCCCCACTCTAGGCTCTCTTCTTTTTCTCTCCTAAATATTCTCTCTTATAAATTAAATTGTATGGGGTGGCACGCTCAGGAGATAGCTAAAGCTTTCCTGATTTGAGATTAATTTTTTGATCCCACGCATCATTAGAGGAGGAGACTCGGTGGAGTGTTCAAAGACCGGTTGAGGTAATATTTCGACATTCTTATTTTTATTCATGTAGTCCATTATTTCTCAATCTTGTTTTACTATTCTCTTTATTTAATAAAGTTGATTGTTCTTAGTGATAGCAAGTGATAGCCATCTTATTTATGTGTATAGGGGTAATCTCTCGCACATGTACACGTTCCACTTTCGATAGTGAATTATTATCTCATTACGACTATCTATATACATGCTATGTAATGATAAAACGATGAAGTTTTAGTCCTGTCTCTATAGACTATTCATCACACACAAGGGTAACACAGTCCCTTGGCTATCATTCGGGCAAACTCCAACCTCATCAAGGGCTAGCCCGCTAAACCCTCATCGGTTTCATCTCTATGCCCAAGTACTTTGGGTTTCCCAAGTCGGCTAGCCTAACACGTCAAGCCTAGTCTGAGTATCGGCAAATTGCATTTGCCTAATATGGTCCATAAGAGAACCACACTCCCACAGAGTTTATGTTTCACTATATACAATGCTCATACAAGCTCTCGCAAGGCTTTAAAAGACACATTAACCCAACAATGAATAGGGTTAGATTTGGGCCTGAGCTGGCCCTAAGGGGACGAGCGAGGACCAGGGCCAACCTGGCCCTGGCCCGACGATGTTGGCCCTGGCCCGGCTCATTGCCAACCTTAGTTGTGAGGTTAAGTGAGCAAAGGCTAATTGAGAGAGAGGGTTGGTTAAATTGCGTTGTTAGGAAAAGTTATTGTAAAGAGGTTTGAAATTTTGTTTTTGAATAATTCAGTGGAGAAGACGGGCCTACTTGTTTTTTAAATAGATTAAGAGTTATTTCAAAACATTAGTAGGGGTCATGTTAGATGTGCGGTGCTACCACCACAACCCCAACCCCAACCCCACCCCTTTTCCAAAGAGGTTTGAAATTGCATCCAATTAATCTAACATCTTAACCATTTGCCATGACCACAATCAACCAACCTAATAACAAACCATCATCACCATTTCACCTCCTCTCAACTCTTAACCCAATCAACACCGAGTCCACCAAAAGTGGGTGCACTGTACAACATGTGACTGACAATCCCACAGCTTTTTCTCTCTCTCTAAACTCCCCCCGCCTCGTGATCCCCACACCGCTTTCAACAAATAACCACAAATACATATACATCCATAAAAAACAGATGGCCCTTGCAAAACTCTCACAAAAGTAAATAACTTAGCCCATAGAAAACACCCACATTACTGCTTTTCCTTCTTTTCTCTCTAGTAATAACTAAGGGTGGCAACGGGCGAGGCCCGAAAGAAATGAATAAAACTTAAAAAGAAAATAAGGAAAAAAAGAGGGCCTGGTGGGCATTGGCCGTAACCAGGGTCTCGGGCCATTGTTTGTGGCTTGGGTCCTATTTTTCAGGGCTGGGCTACGTCGCTCGACCCATTGCCAGCCCTAATAACATGTATCAAGTGTTTTTGGAGTTGGTAGAGGAGACTCAGACTCGGCCGAGTTACTCGACCTCGATCTCAGGGTGAAATCCAATACTATGTAACGATTGTTTATATAATATAATTTATCTTGTTTGTATGATATAATTTATCCACATACTTATTTATTTAGTGTGTAATTGACTTGTTGGGTATTATTGATCTCCTTGCAGCTTGATGTCTTTGATTCTGGTCTCATTTTTTTTTTAACAATAGACTTTTTTTATTTTGTTAAACTTAGGCTGTCTAGACAACATCCCCCAATTTTTATTTTATTTTTGTTATTTTTTTACAACATTTACCCCAAAATATACTTTTTTAACAAATACCCCCCTACTTTGTTTTTTTAGAAAAAAATGTCCAAAATGCGCTTCCCTTAGATAAAACGCCTCTCTCTCTCTCTCTCTCTCTCCTCTCTCTCTCGGTCGTACGTCGTCGTACGTACGTAACGTAACGTAACGTAACGTAAGTAACGTACGTAACGTACGTACGTACGTACGTACGTAACGTACGTACGTACGT